GGCCCATTCACATCTCACTGAGTATTGCAGCAATGAGAAAATCCCATTCAAACAATGTGTATATATTCATAGTGTGTGTTTTATTTTTATTCTTTTACAAACTGCCTCAGGCAGTTTTATTTACAATGTTTTTGAATACATACAAAAGCAATTATTTTAAATATCTACTTGCTACTTTGGGGTGGTCTCCAGACTAATAGTGTGCTTGTCTGAACTGGGCAACAGGGACCGAGGCTGGGGGAAGACTGATTGCTTTTAGTTGCTGAGCCAACTGTTAGGTGGAAGACTCCAAGCTGTCCTACTTCGCAAAAACCTGGACAACCAACAGTGTTTTACTAGTTTGCCGCATGCTCATTCCACATCCTGTGTCCTCACATCCAATGTAGTCCCACTGTACATTGGTCGGGCTGCACCTGGAGTCTTGTGTGCAGTTCTGGAGGCCTCACTTCAAAAAGGATGTGGACAGAATGGAGCGGGTGCAGAGGGGAGCCACGAGGATGATCCGGAGCCTGGAGACCAAGCTCAATGAGGAAAGGCTGAGGGACTTGGGAAAGTTCAGTCTGGAGTAGAGGAGGTTGAGGGGGGACAGGATCGCTCCCTTTAAGCATTTGAAGGGCTGTCACTTAGAGGAAAGGAGCTGCGGTGGCTCAAGTGGTTAAGACGCTGAACTGCAGGCTGTGGAAGGCCGGTAGTTCAGTAGTTCGAGACTCGAGTGCCGCAAGATGGAGTGAGCTCCCGTCTCTGGTCCCAGCTCCTGCCAACCTAGCCGTTTGAAAGCAAGAAATTGCAGGTAGATAAATAGGTACCGCTTCGGTGGGAAGGTAATAGCGTTCCGTGCGCCTCGGCAACTAGTCATGCCAGCCACATGACCACGGAAACGTCTCTGGACAGCGCTGGCTCTTCGGCTTGGAAACGGAGATGAGCAGCGCATCCCTAGAGTTGGATTTGACTGGCTTTCGAGCAAGGGAAACCTTTACCTTTACTAGCCGTAATCCTATTGCGTTGTTTATTTCTCGGGTCCCCAACCTTTTCCAGCTCACGGGCACTATTGGAATTCAGACACAGGGTGGTGGGTGCTACCATAAAATGACTTCTCCCAGATTAGAATAGGCACACTTAACCACTACACCAAACTGGCTCTAATGATGGGCTTAAATTAAGGGCGGGAAGGTACTGGCTGGATATTTTTTTACAGTAAGAGGTGTGCAACAGTGGAATCAGCTGCCTTGGGAGCTGGTGAACTCCCCTCACTTGGCAGTCTTTAAGCAGTGGCTGGACAAACACTTGTCAGGGATGCTCTAGATCAGAGGTTCCCAGACTTATTTGGCCTACTGCCCCCTTTTCAGAAATTTTTTTTTACTCAGCATCCCCCTGGAACTATACCTTCAAGAAGTGGACAAAAAGATGCAGTTTGTGGATCTGCACCCAGATGGTTCCAGCCCACCTGGATTATTCCAGCGCCCCCAAGGGGGTGGTATTGCCCACTTTGGGAACCAGTCCTCTAGACTGATCCTGCATTGAGCAGGGGGTTGGACTGGATGGCCCATAGGGCCCCTTCCAACTCTGTCAACAGTGGGAGGGCTTCTAATGTCCTGGCCCCACTGGTGGACCTCCTGGTGGCACCTGGTATTTCTGGCCACTGTGTGACACAGAGTGTTGGACTGGATGGGCCTTTGGCCTGATCCAACATTGGTGTCTCTTATGTTCTTATGATTCTGTGAGTACTCCCTCCCACTAGATAGCCTTATAAGCAAGCAGTTGTGTTAGCTGAGGACTCCCCCTACCATCAGCTCATGGGTCTGGAGGCTGCTGCTGTCCCCAGCTGTAATAACCTCCAGTACATATCAGCAGTTCTATTTCTCAGGAAGCTCAAAGCCTCCCATCTTCATCTCTCCTCTGTCTCTTTCTTCCAGGATCAACCAGATGTTGATTGTCGCTGGGGAGTATTCTCTCTCCACGTTTGAAGGCACGGAACAAGTATTCCGGCCTGCCCGCATGGTGGTCCATCCCGATTACAGCACCGTGACCAAAAATGCAGACATTATGCTCATTAAGGTAATGAAACCGTCCTTGTTCTTGGAGAGAGAAGGGACTCAAGACTCAGAGGAAGGACGCAACTGAGTCTGGGCTGCCAAGGATATGTTTAAAATACCTTCTCAGGCTGAAGATGTGGCTGAAGAAAGGTACAGAGAAGAAGTCATCAGATCGGCACTACTTTTTAATACGGGGCTTCTGGTCGGTTCCGAGTTTGTCAGCCTTTCCTTTATGTACACTGACATTTGTTGTCATTTCAGGCTGTAAAAATTTGTGTCTCCCTTTTGCATTCATTTATTTATCCCCAGAAAGACCTCTGGTTGCCTTCAAGCTGATGGATACAGGCCATGGGCTGCGTCAACCCTCCATCTTTTCCCATCTAATCTATTTCTGTGTCTACTGACTTGTCTACATGGTGCACTTTGACATGCGGGACCGGAATCCTTCCCTTTATTATTCCTGAGTAAATCAGAGCCCCCAAAATAGCAGCGGTACATGGGGTTTATGACAAATGGTCATCGAATATCTACATTGCCAATGTTCCCTCTAAGCTGTGGAGTCTTGTGAGCAGAAATTTTACTTTGTGAGCCACTGGCACGAAAGTGGCGAGTGAGCAATTTGGCTACTGCATAAATTACTCTGCTCTGGAGCCATCCTTCCTGAGCTAAGACAAAAATGTGTGAGCCGGAGGCTAAAAAACCGTGAGCTAGCTCACACTAACTCAGCTTAGAGGGAACACTGCAACAGATCACAATGCAACAGGTCACAGGTTTCACTCAGTTCTGAGTGTGAAGGGCAATGAGGGAGGAGTCATGTCTCCATCTTGTGGTCGGGGACTTTCTAATCAAGTTCTGACCCAAATCATGCCCATTCCTAAACCAAGCGAATGTTCTGAATCCAACCAGAATTTCCCCCCCGTGTTCAGAAGGAGTCAGAAGCCTTCCCGATAGGGTTGCTATCTTCAGGTTAGGAAATACCTGGAGATTTTGTGGGTGGGACCTGAGGAAGGCGGGGCTTGGGGAGGGGAGGGACTTTAACAGGTTATAATGTCATAGAGTCCACCTTCCAAAATGGCCATTTTCTCCAGGTGAACTGATCTCTGTTGCCTGGAGAGCAATTGTAAAAGCAGATCTCCAGCCACCACCTGGAGGTTGCCAACCCTACCTTCCAGTCTGACAGTTATTCTGGCTCCTTGCTGTCTGTTTTTTTATTTTCCCAGGCAACGGGAAGCACAGGGGGAAACAGCTGTGAAAATGTGTGTGTTTTATGAGGAAAAAGCTGGTGCGAAGGAACAGGAACAAAAATAAAGAATCCTGAGTTTAAGTAGAAACAAAATCAAAACAGTGAAGGGACATAAGAACCCTGCTGAATCAGACCAGCGGTCTCTCTAGTCCTGTATCCTGTCTCACAAAGTGGAGTATAGATATGTATGAACCAGCTCACAAACTAAAATTCGTGATGAATTTTGGCTGGTTCGTGGTTTGCGAACTCAAGTTTGTGGCAGGTCAACTGGCATGAACTTTCCACAAACTTTCTAGCAGTTTGTGGTGGCTCATGACTGCTGTACGTTTCCAGACAGACTGTTTCCGCTCAATCTAAACATTTACCAATCTTCAAAGCAACAGGGGGGGCGGAACTTGGAGGGAATGTAGAGGAGCATCCGGGGAAGGTACCCTGCGGCTTTGATGTCTCTAGCTTGCTCAGGATCTGTTCTATACACTCCCGAACCTCCTAAAGCCGAGCCTGTCATTTCTCCAGAAAGCACTTTCCTGGGGCACCTTCTTTGGGGGGGGCAGTAACGTGGACCCCATAAATCCAATCCTCACCAAACTTGGAGGCCAGGTAGAGGAGAGCGAGCCGGAGATCTCCTGTGAGTTTGATGTCTCTAGCATGCTGGGGGAGGTGTGTGTTCTACTGCCTCATGAACCAAACTGGTTTCTTTGGCAGCTAAAGGTTTGTGACAGTTCATGGTTTGCACATTAGGCACGCCATGAACCACAAAGCAAACCACATTTTCCCAGTTTGTGCCCATCCCTACTCTGGAGGTCCAATAACAGGGCACAAAGGCCAAGGCCTTCCCCTGATGTTGCCTCATGGCACTGGTTTACTGCCTCCGAGCATTGAGGTTCACCATAGCTAGTAGCCACTGATAGACCTATCCTCCATGAGTCTATCCAATCCCCTTTTAAAAGCTGTCTATGCCTGCAGGGCTCTTTTTGTAGAAAAAGCCCAGCAGGAACTCATTAGCATAATAGGCCACACCCAACAGCAAACCCCATTAGCATATTAGGCCACACCCTGACAGCACCGCTCATTAGCACATTAGGCTACACACCCCATGTTACCAGAAGTGTGGTCATCCAGCCACACCCACCTTTCCCTTCTTATTCTGTTTACCTTGTTTGTTGTCAAAACCCAGGGCCTTTTTTTGTAGCAGGAACTCCTTTGCATGTTAGGCCACACACCCCTAATGTAGCCAATCCTAATGAGTTTCTGCTATTGGGTGTGGCCTGTTATGCTAATGAGTTCCTGCTGGGCGTGGCCACCTCAGGAGCCAGCCAGAACTCTGTTCCTGTGCGTTCCTGCCCAAAAATAGCCCTGCCTGTGGCTATCACCACATCCTCTGGCAGTGAATTCCAAATTTTAATAACTTGCTGTGTATACTCCATACTGCATACTGCAGGGATGAGAAATTCTTGATCATTCTTGTTATCTGGGCAGGCTTTGTTCGCAATAGAAGCCTCTGGAATGTCTTCATTGTCAACCCTGTGAGAAACACATTATAGTTGATGCTGCAAAGGCCTCACTGATATAGGCCAACTCTTTGCGATTGCCCTCGAATGAATTTGATTCCGCTGTTCAAACCTGTCCCACCTCTCTCGCTTTCTCAAAACAGTTGAACAAGCCAATATCGTACAGCGCTTCCATCTCCATTGTGCCTCTTCCCCAGCAAGGAGCGACAGTCAGAGAAGGCCGCTTCTGCCAAGTCTCCGGGTGGGGCTACACCACCCCCATTGGAGGGAGGACCTCTGACACACTGCGCAGCGTCCGCCTCCCCATCATTGCCACTTGGAAGTGTAACAGCTCGTCTTCCTACGCCGGGTACATCACCAAGAACATGATCTGCGCCGGGTTCAGCACTGGGGGCAAAGATGCATGCCAGGTACATGCTGGCCTTCCTAACCGAGGCAGGGAACTATTTTAAGTCAAAATCTTTGCACTAATTTTTATAAAGGTACAAGGTATAGAGCAGAGGTGTCAAACTCATTTGTTCTGATGGCCAGATCTGACATAAATGTCACTTTGTCGGGCCGGGCCATGTGTGCCATAAACATAATGCTGGGTACCAGAGAGATAAACTTTGTAGAGGACAGCAACTGGACAGCGAACTCATTAGCATAATAGGCCACACCCAACAACAGAAACTCATTAGCATATCGAGCCACACCCCTGACAGCACAGCTCATTAGCACATTAGGCCGCACCCCCATGTTACCAGAAGTGTGCTCATCCAGCCACACCCACCTTTTGCTTCTTATTCTGTTTACCTTGTTTGTTGTCTAAACCCAGGGCCTTTTTTTGCTGGCCTTCCTAACCGAGGCAGGGAACTATGTTAAGTCAAAATCTTTGCGTTCATTTTTTATAAAGGTACAAGGTATAGAGCAGAGGTGTCAAACTCATTTGTTCTGATGGCCAGATCTGACTTTGTCGGGCCGGGCCATGTGTGCCATAAACATAATGCTGGGTACCAGAGAGATAAACTTTGTAGAGGACAGCAACTGGAAAGCTCCGAGTTGGTGTGTCCTCACTGCAAGGCCCCCCGTGGGCTGAGAGGGGGGTGCAGAGAGAAACCGACATAGGCAGACTGGAGAGGCAGCAGGGCAGTGCTGGACAGAGGCTCCCATGCCCCAACAGAAGATCGTCTGCAGCCCCCCCCCAATGCAAACGCTGATCCCTGTGGCCATCCAGGACAGCTTCCCCGGAGCTGCAGGCTGAGTGGAGAGGTAGGAATGCAGCTGCAGCGGCTCCCAAGTTACCAATGAGGCTGTCCCTGAAGTGAAGGGCTTCTGCTTGACTGCTGCAGAGGAGGTTGTTCTACTGTGCTGAAGCCACAATTGAAGTGGCTCCGCCCACCCTCAAGTGGCCTCCTGTTCCCTCCCTTGTACCAGTTGCTCGTGGGCCGCATAACAGCCATGAATGGGCTGGTCCCAGCCCCCAGGTCTTATGTTTGTCAACCCTGACATAGAGGTACACCGTGGATCCTCAACCTTTTTGAGCCTGCAGGCCTTGTTGGAATTCTGACACAGCCTAGTGCAGTGATGGCGAACCTTTTAGAGACCGAGTGCCCAAACTGCGACCCAAACCCCACTTATTGATTGCAAAGTGCCAACACAGCAATTTAACCCGAATACGGAGGTTTTAGTTTAGAAAAAACAACTCATACGTTAACTTAAGATGATCCAAAAAAAGTAAGGAAAGCAATCCCAAATGCTTTCATTTACTTAAAATTATTTGGCAGAGAATTCGACACTTTAATGATGGTCTGGTCCTGGCTGTGGCGATGGCACGCGTGCACACAGAGAGGGCTCTGAGTGCCACCTCTGGCACCCGTGCCATAGGTTCGCCACCACTGGCCTAGTGGGTGCAGCCACAAAATGCCTGCTGCAGGAGGCAGAGCCAGCCACAAAGAGGCTGTCGCGGCTCACCTTCAGTCACACAATGAAGATCCTTGTGCTGTGGTGGCACCTGCCACCAAAGGAACCTTTTTAAAGATCTGCACAGCCAATCGACTCTCCAGTGGCCGATCAGAAGCCTTGCTGGTTAAAAACTTCACCTGGCCCCACCCATTTCCTAAAAGCACTTGGCGGGCACCAGGAAAGATGTTGGCGGGCACCGTCGTGCCCACGGGCACCCTGTTGGGGATCCCTGGTGTTACACATTCACCAGTTTGGTGTAGTGGTTAAGTGCGCGGACTCTAATCTGGGAGAACCGGGTTTGATTCCCCACTCCTCTGCATGCAGCTGCTGGATGACCTTGGGCCGAACTGCTGAACTACTGACCTGCCACAGCCTGCAGTTCAACATCTTAACCACTTGAGCCACCGCAGCTCCATGTTGTGGGGAGGGGAAGGGAAAGGAGTTTGTAAGCTGCTCTGAGACTCCGAGTGAAGGGCGGGGTATAAATCCAATCTCCTCCTCCTCCTCCACTTCCCTAAGCAGGGACCAGTTTGCAGGAGAGCGCTGCTGTGTTTGGTTTCCTTTAGGAGACATCTATTTCTGTAATATCTGCTCTATTTCCAAATATACCAGCAGAGCACAGCCAAAGAGCCCAAAGGATACTGGGAGCCGTGGTATAGTTCCAGGTAAATGGCAGATGGTGCCGTGACGAACAGATGTAGCGACTGAGTGATGTGGGAGCATTTCAACTACATTCCCGAAGGCTGCCATTTAGAATATTGGGGCTGAGTAACTGGTGCAGGAGTTAAACAGTTGAGTTATGTGACGCACAGCATTTCTAAAGCGGAACTATAACGGCATGGAATATTGATGAGCGGGGAAGGTAGCTTGCCATGGCCACGTTCGGCTCGGAACGGTATCATGTTTCTTCGGGAAGTTGGAAGAAAAGGAGAGCTTTGCTTGTGAAGAGGCTGTGCAGTCAGGCCAGTGGCGAGTAGCCAGTCTCCAGTGGTGGCTGTGGAGACCTCTTGGGATCAGAATTGATCTCCAGGGGACAGAGATCAGTTTGCCTGGAACATAAGAACAGAAGAGAAGCCAATGTTGGATCAGGCCAATGGCCCATCCAGTCCAACACTCTGTCACACAGTGGCCAAAAATACCAGGGGCCATCAGGAGGTCCAGCAGTGGGGCCAGGACACTAGAAGCCCTCCCACTGTTGTCCCCCCCCCAAGTACCAAGAAGACAGAGCATCCCTTGCCCCAGACTGAGAGTTCTTATCTATACCTTGGGGATAATAGCCACTGATGGACCTCTGCTCCAAGTGTTTATCCAGTTCCCTCTTGAAGCCGTCCATGCTTGTAGCTGCCACCAGCTCTGGGTTGGGAAATACCTGGAAATGGCTGGTTTGGAAGGCAGACTTGATGGTATCGTACCCCGCTGAGGTCCCTATCTGCCCTCAAACCCTGCCCTTTCCAGGCTCCACCCCCAAAATCGGCAGGAATTTCCCAACCCGGAGATGGCAACCCTAAGCAGCACTGGACCTGGGCAAAAGGCCAGGGTGAGGCCCGAGAATCACTGCTCTCCCCACCATCCGCTCTCCAGGGACAAGCAAATGTTGACCCTCGCTCTGTGTGAGGCTGGCGAGAGCCACTTCTGCCGCCAGTAGACAGCAACCTGAGCCCCAAAGGGGATGGGCATACGTCGCGGCAGCTACGGGATCCTGCTCTGTTCTGGGAGGTGGGGTTCCGGCGGTTTGGGGGGCTCCATCTGAGGTGGGGTTCAGTGCAGCTGCCCTCATTGCCCGTTGGCTACGACCACCCTAGAATAAGTCATTTCCCCACTGTGCATGGTTAGGGTTGCCAGCCTCCAGGTGAGGCCTGGAGATCTCCCGGTATTACAGTTGGGGTCCCGGCAACAGAGATGAGTTCCCTTGGATAAAATGGCTGCTTTAGAGGGGGAACTCTATGGCATTGTACCCGCTGACATTCCTCCGTCCCCAAACCCCTCCTCAGGCTGCACCCCCCAAATCTCCAGGTGTTTCCCAACCCAGAGCTGGTGTGTATGTTCATCCCAAGGTGGGTCACTGTGGTTTTTAAGGTGTTTCAAATGCCTTTTGACCCGTGGAGTCAATGGTGGGTCACTGTGGTTTTTCAAATGCCTTTTGACCCGTGGAGTCAAGCAGGGAGAACAACGGCAAATATAGACACTACCTTCTCACCTTCTAGTTAAATATGCAACCACAAGAAAGACAACTTCCTCTTTCTTCTTTTGTGTGTGTGTATGCTTGCATAGGAGCTGCGGTGGCTCAAGTGGTTAAGACGCTGAACTGCAGGCTGTGGAAGGTCGGTAGTTCAGCAGTTCGAAACCCGAGTGTGCCGCATGACGCAGTGAGCTCCCGTCTCTAGTTCCAGCTCCTGCCAACCTAGCAGTTCGAAAGCAGGAAATTGCAAGTAGATAAATAGGTACCACTTTGGTGTGAAGGTAACAGCGTTCCGTGCGCCTTGGTGTTTAGTCATGCCGGCCACATGACCACAGAAATGTCTTCGGACAGCGCTGGCTCTTCGGCTTTGAAACGGAGATGAGCACCGCAACCCTAGAGTCAGATTCGACTGGCTTTCGAGCAAGGGAACCTTTAGCTTTACCTTATGCTTGCATGCCTGGGAGTCATGGTGACTTCTGGTGACCCCTAGTGGGGTCTGGATGTTTCAGAGAAGTGGCTTTATAGCCTGCCTCTGTATCCCGACCCCTAGTATTCCTTGGAGGTCTCCCTTCCAATTACTTGTCAGAGTCGGCCCTGCTTAGCTTCCGAGATCTGATGAGATCCGGCTTGCCTGGGCTATCCAGGCCAGGGCGAGAACTTTCCGTTTCTTGTGGAATGACCATCCTGTAGAGTTAAGAAGATACCTCTTTGGCCGGGTTCTGTAAAAGCTGTAAAGCCTTCCTTCTTCAAAACAGGATTTATCTTTTAATGGGGCAGGTGAGTTATTTTACGGCATGGGTTTTAATTCTGAGCTGTACCATTTTTAATTAATTGCTACACTGTTACAAATTTTATCATCTTGTTTATATGGGTTTTAACCGCCACGGTATTGGGATATTTGGTTAATATAGCAGCGCGTGCCCAGTCATAGAAGCGTGATATTGAGAGCAGTAAATAAATCTCCCAAGAAGTATATTGTCAGAGTTAAAACTTACATTTATGCAAGTAGATTCTGTTCACATTCAGGTTGCAGTCGAAAAGAGAGAAAGAGAGAAAGCAGAGGTCCATCAGTGGCTATTAGTCACAAGGTATAGGTAGGAACTCTCAGGCTGGGGCAAGTGATGATCTGTCTTCTTGGTGCTTGGGGGGGGGCAACAGTGGGAGGGCGTCTAGTATCCTGGACCCCACTGATGGACCTCCTGATGGCCCCTGGTATTTTTGGCCACTGCGTGGCAGAGTGTTGGACTGGATGGGCCATTGGCCTGATCCAGCATTGGCTTCTGTTATGTTCTTACACGCCTACTCTAAAGAATATCATTCCCTATCACAGGTGGCCAGCTAAACCTGGCATCACGTCTGTGGAAGTATGAGGGGCCTTGTTCGTACAGGAGAGAGAGCCATGTGAAGAATGGGGAGTGTTGTGTAGTGGGTTTGACGCATCGAATAATGAGGAAACATAGTGATATTCAGCTCATGTTTACTACTGCACAACGTAACAACACAATACCGGCTGGAGGCCAACTATATACAATCTCTGTGGACCACCCACAGGTCCCATTGGTGGGTTTAAACTTCCCGCCAACGTTCCCATTGGTGACCGCTAGAGGTTTCAGGATCCTAGTCCCTATTGTCTCTTGGGATCCAAGCTCCTGTAAAATATGCTGTCACCTAGTGGCGGTCAGCGGACATAACAGGGAGAGAACGAAGGGCAAAGAGTGAGAGGAGAGGTCAGAGGGCCGCTTCCAGGTTAAGACAAAAAGGGAGATATCCTATTCAAGGCGACGATGCTTATACACACGTAATACACACTTTGAGTGATGTAGCGCTCCCCCCCCCCCCCTGTGT